ATAGAATTCGAGGTTGAGGTTCTTTCAAATATGCTTCGAGGTTATTTGCAAAAGGGATTAAGGAACGGGCTCTGGTTTAAGGATCCCAAGAGATATCCGAACTTTTTATTCATACTACTTAGAGTTCAATTGGTGTTTTTCATTTGGATAAGATCAAGTCACTATTTAACTCCAAGTCATACGCGTGTTTTAATAAGAAGATTAATAAGGTGCACAATGGAGAAAGTTGGATTTGATCCTGAAGATCTAACTGGTTGCAGAACCAAAACGTGGTGGCCTAGACAAGAGGTTTTATGAAGGAGAACTTTTAGGTCCCTTGATCCTTTTAAAAAAGGGGCATACGAGAAATTCTGGTCCTTTTAAAAAGAGGGGTACATAATCAAGCATATAATTTATGGGGGATTATAATTTATTCTATGAGTTAGATTTCTTCTAACACAAAATGCCATATATAAAAGTCAAGGAATTCAATCAAGTGACTTATGAGACTTTACTTTGCTGCTACTTTGAGACCAACACAAGGTTTTCATATTTTTTTAAAATTAATACAAGTCATTACAAGGCATTGCAAACCGGAACTTTGAAAATACAAGATATGGTACTAGAATACTAGAAATTGTTACAACTTGACTACAACTACATTTGGACCTCCACGGCATGACAAGTCTAGCTTCTTTATTGAAACAACACATCGATATAGAGTTGTTCTGATACAACCAGCTCTGAGTTGTTTCTCATTCCTTTGACTTGTTCGTAGCATCCGCCTCTTTGTAAAATAAAGCAGTAACTGTACTTTGTCTTTGACGACCTATAAATGAGAAAGACAATTGTTAATATTTGGGACGGAACCGAAACTCCAATCAAAGGATTGATCATGAACTCGTTTTCTTCTCGCTTTACCGGAAGGAAGAATGAAGATGTCATCTAGTCAAAGCAAAGCAGTTAAATATTTCACCTTTAATCCATACCTTTACCGATCCTCAGCTTTCACACCTGCAACACATAATCATATGCCGTTAAATTTGAAGTACAACTCAGGAATAGAGAAATGAATTGAAGGTCCAGCCCTCAGTTGTAAACTCATCATCGGGCGGAAGACTCGAGCGGCTTGAAGGGCAACAGCCGAGGTTGTCGCCAACTTCCTACCAAAGCATCGAACGAGTGAGTTTTAGAAAATTAAAGAAATCATTTTAGAATAGCTCTCAACATAATTCTCAAGCAACAACTACAGACATCGGCAATTTCAATCTCTTCACGGTTCAAACTTATGAGTCATCATAACCGCAAGACCTGTCTCGACAATGGCATAGAACCAGCAGCTTCGAAACTGCTAGCGACATCTTGAAAGAAAAAGGGAAAACAGGTCAGCTGCAAACAACAATAGCAGGTAGCAGCAGCAGCACACCAAATCCGTCCCTCTGATCAAAGCTATGTAAAATCATGGGAATCCTCCCAAGTAGTTCAAACATGGAAAACTCCAAACCAAGTCAGCCCTACAATGCATCATCAATATACATCAGAAATAATCTCAAGGCATTCCATTCATGACAATTTAGCACACCAAGCAGTCAATTCAAATAGCAAGGTTGCATAAGCCTAAATTGCAGTAACTGTTTCCTATAAGGTGATTACTAACAATGAATAACAGGGCCATTTGCAAGCATACTTAGAGTTAACCAACCTAAGGTTTATCAGTTTACAAAACCAAGAAAACAAGTTAACCATCGAGAATAAACCACGGCTATGATGTCTGCAATTTATGAAGGAAATAAAGACAAAGATGGATCTCTTTATATGACTTACAGTGGGGAGAACATCTTTGGAATGATGATCTGAAGTAAAAGTATCTTGTTCCTGCTGATTTGACTGCTGGCCAGTTTGTGTATGTGGTGTGAAAGAGAATCAAGCTGAGTCCTGAGAAAGCCATCTTCATTTTTGTCAAGAACATTTTACCACCAACCGGGCATTTCGCGCTGGTTCATAACCCAACTCTTTCTTCGATACGGCAATTCAAATAAATTAAGGGTTCCCGTTATTACTATTTTTTCCAACCATAACATCTTTTAAGAAGAACAAAGAGCTTTTGAATAACTTAACTTTTAGCATCTCCTCTCAGTTTTACCGAAGCAACGACGCAGCTGCGTCTTTCCACCTGTTATCCAATCGAAGCTGATGAAGTGGAAGAATAATTACCGCAACTGGTGGATACACCCTCTGCCTGTCAAACTCCAGAGTTATTACTGGACATGAGGAAAAGGAGAAAATAGTTTTATGTGCATTACGATATCAGATGGAGCTAGGAGTAAATGAGTGTTTTGTTTGGGTACCTGGTCGACGCGAAGGCGTTGAGAATGTGGCTGCAAATATCAGCAGGCAAGCTTTTGCAAACAGCCATAACAGGTAATTCAGCAGACAACCATAACAGGTATTTCCGCGACATTAGGCTAGCACATGCAAGCAAGTAATGCCACAACAGTACAAAGCAACAACAGCAAGCATTCACGAACATCAGCTGCAGGTATCTCCGTATCAGCAGCAAGCATCACCTGCAACCACAGAACAACATTGTTTGCGTATCACAACATCGATGTTATCTACAAACACTATTCAAAATCTTAAGTATTTCACAAAGTTTCAAATTGTTTCACCTTCACTGACCTGAAGCCCTACTCTTATTGTGCCACCAGCATATCTCGCACACGAAGTAGACATCTTTCCTTGTTATGTTGGACAGAACCATCCATAGTCCTCATATTTGAAATATGTTAACACCCTGCACCTATGGAGTTCGTATACAAAAATAGGAAGAAAAGCCGGTGTCGTCTCGTCAGTAGGGTACCCTTTCTCAAGTGACCTCTTTAAGCCGGCGAGCCTTGGAGTTCTTCACGGAACCATACGCACACCTGATAAAATCATGAAGTTAGCAAGGAAACAACATACAGTAAGCATGTGATGTATCAAAATCATGACCATACAACATTTCCAAAAAAGAATGATTGCACATGTTGATTTGAACAAGGAAAGAAATCAAAACAATCAAACAACTTTTAGAACCTTCCAATAATGTTTCAAAAATCTTAAACAACTTTCCAATTTCGGACAAGCATGTTCACTTTGAAGTTGGTAACGTTTTAATACAGATTAATTGGGAGAAGTTTTTGTACACTATAAAGAGGAATCGATGAAACCATAGAAAGAAAAAATCACAATACAAAAAGAGTGATACTTATCTTCATCGCCGGAACTCCATCGCGAAACCGCCGGAAGCCCCTCCGAAAGCCCGTCGCCGGAAATCTCAACCCTCCACCGTCGAAGCCGTCGGAACCCTCACGCCTCCATCATCGTGAATCCACCTTCATCGTCAAAACCCTTATGCCTTGGGAATCTCCATTCTTCGCGAGTTCACGAACGCCCTATTGAAGAATTCACAAGTTATGGTAAGTGTCGTTTCTGGTTTGTTTACTTTGAATTTAATATTGTGTTGGTTGTTTTGCAGAAAAAACGGGAAGAAGAAATCAACGGAGAGGAAGAGACGGGATTAATAGAAAATGAGAGGAGAGGGAAGAAGAGAATGGGAGAAGGAGAGAAGATCGAAGGAGCAGGACGAAGAAGAGGGAGAGAGAACGAAGGGGGCGGAAGAGTATTCGATTTGGGAACCTAGGGTTTTGGGGTTTTTTGCTCTATTTTATTTTTGTTGTAATCTAGTACGTGCACCCCCACGCTATTTACCATGCGCCCACACACGTCACCATTCGACTCACCGTCAGATCAGATCACACGCCACACACGTGCACACTACCGTGAACCCCGTATGTCTGCGCTCACTGAATCAATTCGCCTCCCTAACCCTTAATTAATCCTTTAATCTGCATTAACCACCTAATCATTAATCTTAACCAACTTTTTATAAAATTAATGGAGAATTGAGTTAATTTGGAGAAGATGAAGTTAAAAGATTAAGAGAGAATTGAGAGAGAGTAATTGAGGGTGAGAAGAATAATTGACATTAACCATAATGTGGGAGCTTACAAGGCCTTTTATATGGCAAGTACACACAAACAATGTGATACAACAAAAACAGCTTAATCAAATAAGCTGATACAAACAGAAAATTAAAAAAACAGAAAAAACGCCTCGTAGCCGATTACGCTAAATCCTGTAGTCAATTATGAGCCCGATACTTATACGCCCAAATTATTTTAATACTTCATAACCGGTTACGTCAAAACTAATAACTGAATACCATAACTGAAATGCTAAAAAAAAAAAAAATCATATTTTAACCGCATGAATCATTTTAATAAGAGATATGTATATGGAGAATAAAGAATCAATAGTGAAAAATGTGTGAAATATATTGGAAACGATTAAATATAGTTGGTAGGATGTAATAGTTTAGGAAGTAGTATGTCCTTAAATCCAATATTGCTTAGTTGAAAATTTAAAAAAGAAAAAAAAAAGAAAGAAGTGAATTTAGTATTAGGGCTTAACAAGCTATGTAGACTTTATAAATAATACTTCCTCTATTTTAAAATAAATATCACATTTAAAAAAAATTATTTATTTAAAATATTTCTATGTGAAAATGTCAAATATGAAAGGAATAAGAAGTTTGACATTGAAATGAATCCTAATTTTTCATAGTTTTTTTTTTTTTTTTTTCATTTTTATTAAAGTTTAGGCCATCCTTACCAGAAACAAGAAAACTAATTGGACTCTTTTGTTTTATTAGACATAAGACCGGTAATCACACGACTCCCCAACCGAGGAAACAGACAAAATAAAAGCACAACAAAAACAAAAGTACCTTCTCCTCTTTCTTTGTGTTACTCACTCACCTTCATCTTCCTACTTTTTTTGTTATCCACGGTCACTAAAACCTGCATTCACATTTTCACACCATACAAACCCTTTCCTCTCCTTCTTTGTTTCTCTAAACCAAATACAAAAACAAATCACCATTTCATTTCAGTATTATATATATTCTGGTTCGTCCAACCATGGAAGCTTTTACTTTGCTAAAATACCCGAAACCAACTGAAGCAACACCTCAACCTCAACCTCCTCCTCCTAAAGAAGAAGACACCGACTACATCGAAACCACTACCGATGAAGAAGGAGAAGAAGAAGACGAGCCTTTCTTTGATATAGAGTTCACTGTACCCGACGAAGAAGAAGAGCAAGAACAAGAAGAACAAAAACCAAACGAGTTTGAGAATGAACTCGGATTTACGCTTTCACCTCTAACCAACGAGCAAGTTCAGTTGGAACTGAATTCCTCTGAACCTAACTCTAAGCCTCAGTTCACCGCCTCGTTCTTGAAATCCGCCACCAAGCTCCGTGTTTTTATGTCTGGTTTCAACAAATCAAAATCCACCGACTCTACCGCTCAAAAACCAGAGTCGCAGAAAAAGAAACTGTTTACTGTGAAGTTCAAAGTAGATGAAGTTCCCTTCGGGTCGTTCTTCACCAGAGATAATAGCTCCAAAGGAAAAACCGGTGCTGATAATAATAAAGCCTCTGAAAAGAAGAAGAAACAGCACAACACAGAGGAAGAAGAATCAAAGTTACATTCACCTTCTTCGGCTTCTTCTGATGAGAAACTACGCTTCTCAAAGGAAGTAATGCAGAAATATTTGAAAAAAGTTAAGCCTCTTTATGTAAAAGTTTCTCGAAAGTATGCGGAGAAGCTCAAGTTTTCTTCTAGCCAGCTCAACTCGTCGCTGGTGAAGAAACCGCCGGCGGAGAAAGTTCGGTCGGAAAATGGGGGGAACAATGTGAAAAGTCAGAAACAGGGGACTCTGCCTCTGCCTGCAGGGTTGCGTGTAGTGTGCAAACATTTGGGGAAGAGCCGTTCGGCCTCGTTGGCGACGGAGGTAGCGACGGTGTCGTCGCAGAGGAGAGATGATTCGACGATGCAGCAACAGGATGGGATACAGAGTGCTATTTTGCATTGCAAGAGCTCCTTCAATGCTTCCAAAGGTAAATTAAATTACAATTAAAATTATCTATACTTTATTTTTGAGGACCATTTCTATTTTTATTAATATCAAAGGTTTTAAATAATGATTGCATTGCTTCTTGTTAAAACTTTTACTACTTTCGATTGCGGTATGGTTGTTTAAAACCTTGATTAATATTACTTTGAAGATTTTAACTAATTTGTTGATAATTTTGATACAGAATGTAATCCGTTGCAGTCTGAATCGTCAAGAAAACTTGGAAATGAGTTGGAAGATGAGGGAGGGTTTTTGAAATAGTTTTCAGTTATGTAGGTTTTTGAAATAGTGGCATTAGGTTTGTTACTAGTACTTTGTACAAAGGAAAATGTTACTACTAGGTAGGTGCTACTTTATTAGGAAATCTGTGAGGATGTGTTTAATGTTGCAGAAAAGAAAGTAAAATGTTGGGTCGTAGGGAACAACAGTGGCTATTGCAGTTGCAGGTGACAGTAACTGTTTTCCGATGAATCAAGCTAAACTTGAGCCTAGTAAAGGCGACAGTGAATAACTGTGCTTAATATTTTATTATTTGTACCGTAAGTGCATGATGAACGGTAGCCTACTAGCATACTCTTGAGTTTTTAATTACTATAAATGTTCCAAAATACAGTGACCAATTAGGTTGGGTTAAATGAATGTGGTAAAAATCAGAAGGAAATTAATTTATGGTTTATTTGAATGTTTTAAAAATTGGATGGGGGAGATCCAACCAATAAAATATTTGATTTAAGATTTAATTGATTCAACCAATTAAACATTAATTTAAATTGTTTATTAAACTAATAATATGAAGATAAATTTTATAAATACATCACGGATAGGCATACTATGATAGGCATACCTTCACAACTTAATAAAAGAAATATTTTAAAATCTATTACAATCTTAATACAACAATATCAATCAAATACTACATATAATAACTAAACACTTAATTTCAACCTTCATTTATGAATAATTTGAACAAATTAAAAAATCACAATAAAATAAATTAAACTAGATCAAACTAAAATTAAAATAGTAAAACATAATTATTAAAATAAAATTCAAATGATTAAAAAGAATACCTAAATTAAATAAAATAGAATTATAAAAAATAAACAATACAACATACTTAATTGAACAACACTAAAAAACTTTGAGTTGAATGACAAATAATCACCAATTCACAAATATCATTCCAACGATGCACTAATGATAATGATAACTCGATCGCAAAACAGGTATATATGTAATGCATCAACTCGATTCTTTATGCATATGGTGCCAATTTGGACATCAAAGATATATTACTTATTTCGTCCCATCATCGAACTGTCCCCCTTTTGAATCATGAATGTCATTGATCAGCCCTTCTGAATCAGGACTCTTCACTGATTCCCCATTCTAAATCAGCGACTCAACGCTAGTTTCCTTTTTGAACTAGCGACACAACATTGGATCAAAGTTTTTACGTCATGATGCATGAAATGCGACAACTCATACATATGTAATAAACATCACCGATTCCCATTTGAATCATATAGATCAGCAAGGTCACCACTTTAATATAACAAGTATGTTATACAACTCACTAATACCAATCATTCAAGCATTCAACAACACATGCTTATTCATTCACAAAGTATTCACACACCTTTTAGAGCATATCAATTTAGTTCACCAACTCGTCAAACACAACAAAACAACCAATAGTCGCTAGAATCAGAAACAACTCGAAAAATGAGTCGGCGACTTAAAAATGGACAACCCAGGTGATGATGGTCAAGTGACTCATTATGAAATCTCCTTCATCACCATCCTCAGGCACTCGTCATCTAGGAGATGGCTGTTAGATACGTCTGTTTAGGAGACCATGATGGGAGACCCGTCATCTGGCTAACAGTCCTCGACTTTCCCCAAAGCGGTGATGGTCGAATCGTCATAGTGGCGACGCCCGTCACCATTGTGCAGAAAGGAGAATTTCATTTTCTACCATTGAAGCTCTTTCAAAGCTCCGATTTCAACCCCAAATTGCACAAAAATTAACATGTATAATTTATACTATGATTATCATACCAATTACTCACAAATTAATCATCTAATTCATCAATGTACTATAAGTTCATCAACATGTTCATCATACCAATAACCATAACATTAACACCAACCTTCCAATTATCACATGCAAAGGCACACAGAATTTAGTAGCATAGTCAGTACACAAAATCATGATTATCACACCACATGAGATAGGTTTTATACAATGCTTCTCCAAAACATATCAAACATCAACCGTGGAGGAAAATAGGATAAAAGCCTAGTAGAGTGTGAGGGTCATTCTCTACCCTTCATGCATTTGACATCCATATTAGAGTAATCCCGCTTACCTTATTTTCTAGGAAAGGTCCAAGCTTTTGGTTATGGTGTTATTCTTCAACCTAGGGTTGCCTCTTTTCTAGTCTTGCATCCTTGCCCAAATTCTCATGTACTCTATTTTTCCCTCCCAACCTTTTCTCCTTATTTTTCTTTTAAACAAAAAACTAATTCCAATTACTAATATTTTTATTTCTCCCCTCACCTTTTGTGCTCTTACTACTTGCCACACTAATTCCCTCATTATTCTATTTCCACCCCAATATCTCACTATTTCATATTGTACCCAATTTTCTATTATTTTTAATTAATGAAAAATAGGGATAATTCATATAAATTCTACCCAACCTCATAAAATCCCACAAAAATACACATAACCCACCAATAAATTATTTAAACATATTTAACTTAATAAAATAAATTAGTTTAAAAACTTGGATTTTACAACTCTCCCCCACTTTGAGAACTTCTACCCTCAAAAATTACTTGAAATAAACAACTCTATATACAAATCTCGCATCCGAATTTCCAACTCCCATGTCACGCTTCCTCCAGTGATGCCTTAATAATCAATTTCTCTCTCATTTGCACATCATTCGTTTGGATTACATGAGACGGATTATAAATGGACTTCCAAAAAGTTGTGACATATGAAAAACATCATAAGGATTCGAAAGAGACAGCGGTAAGACAAATCTATAGGCCACCTCTCCCACTCTTTGCAAGATCTGATACGGACCAATAAAACGAGGCGTGAGCTTTTGAGACTTCAGCGCACGACCAACATTAGTCACCAGAATGACTCTTAAGAAAACACGATCTCCCTCTTAGAACTCAATTGCCTTTCTCCGCTTATCATAATAACTCTTTTGTCTCCTATGTGAAGTCGTCATCTTTTCTTAAATCATATTAATCTTCTCAGTAGTCTGCTGAACAATCTCCGATCTAAGCACAACACTTTCACCATATTCATACCAACATAAAGGAGTTCTGCACCTCCTTCCATACAAAGACTCATAAGGTGTCATTTCAATACTAATGATAACTGTTGTTATAGGTGAACTCAATCAACGAAAAAATAGTTATCCCAACTACCTTCTAGTTCCAAAATACAAGCTCAATTTTTTTTCTTGAGATTGAATAGTCCTCTCAGTCTAACCATCCATAAGAGGATGATAGGCAGAACTCACTTAACTTAGTTCCCAAGGATTCCTTCAAACTCTCCCAAAACCTCTACGTGAACCTTAGATCTCTATATGAAACAACACTAAAAGGAATACTGATCGCAACTCTGTGTGTCTATCAGATTATCTAATTACAAGTGCACAGTTGTATCACATAGCTTTAAAAGATATCGAACCCATAAGGATCAATAATCAATCTTATCACTATCTATTGGTGCTATGCAAATCTAAGGCTATGAATCTTTTGATTAGGGGGAAATTAAAATTAAAACTAAAATAAAGCCTAGAAAATGTATCAACTAGGAGAGACCAGAATGTGGATCCCAGTGTACCTTAGGGACTCAATAATTCATTAGCCTATGTTACATGTTAAATTACTTTTCAGCAGAAAATATTAGCTTAAAAACCTTTATCTCACACAGTCGTGCTATTAACTCTAGCTATACTCCTAGACCATAAACGTTTTGTTGTCGTTCACCCATTTGAATCAAGAAATACTTTTTGAAAACCAATAAGTCCTAATTAATCCTAAAGTGATGTCGCTGTGTTTAGGATTAATGTCCAATTTTTACTATCTGGTTTGAGCCTCACAATGTCGTGCTATTGACTCGAAAACTTAATATTTTCACTCTCGTGCAAAACCTTTTGGATTTAAAATTAGAAACCGAAACTAGAAAAAAAATTTATAAAAAGGTTACGCCAATTCATTACAGAGTTCCGTCGGAATAACAGTCCTCACATACTAGACTCAAAGGATTTAGTCAGACATGGTATTAAACATAAACATGCATTTCCTGATACTTGAAATTAACAATAACATAGCAATTGCATTTAATTGAATTAATGCAAACAATTAGAAACAAATTAAAGCAATAATATAAAGAACCTAAAATTAAAAACTGGAAGTAACTTGATCGCGACTTAGTATGTCCAAATGATTCGCGACTGCAAATGCACAGTCCATCGCATAGTTTTAAAGATTATCGAACCCAAAGGACTAAGAATCGATCTACCGTTATCTAATGCTACTACGTAAATCTAAGGCTAATGGATTTCTAAGTTTAGATGCTAGTAAGAAAATAAGTGCAAATTGAAATATAATTTAAATCAAGATAATGCGAAACATCGGTATATAATTCTGTCAATCATCAGGGGTTCAGTAATTCATGGGCGTTTAGTTTAAAAGAAAAAAATGTTATTCTGTAGAAAATACTCATTTAAAAGACTTTATCTCAGACTCTCGTGTTTATTGACTTAGACTATACTCTCAAATCAGAATGAAGACTCTCGCTCTCTCATTTGTATTTAAAAAAACTTTTTGAAAATAAGCAGATCCCAATTAACCCTAAAGGGTTCTCGTTGTATTTAAGATTAATGTTCAGTTTCAGCTATCCGGTTAAGAACTCAAACTCTCGCTTTATTGATCTTAACCTTTGCTACGTTTTTACTCTCATAACAAAAGTTATTAAGTTATTAAAAAGAAACTGAGACCAGAACAATAAATCTGTTAAGTTCACGCATAAAAATGGTTTAGCCAGACATGGCTTGCATGCTAATACAAAATTTAATCTTAATGCTAGACAGAATATAAAAGGAATGCATAAAAATAACAATAACAATGAAAGTAAATAAATGGAAGCTGGTAATTACGAGGAACAGAAAAGTGTTAGAACACAGATTGGTTCTTAATTATATCTCTATGTTTTGATGATAACTCTT